GGGAAGTTGAATATGCTTCACTAAGCAAATTCTTCTTCAAACATTAATCATAACAATATCTGGACCAATGTCGAAATCGTTTTGATTTGAAAAGTAAGTTCAGAAAACAGAAAAAAAAATCCGAAGCGATTTAAGTACCTTACAATCCTCACGTTTGGAATTGAGTCTTCGCTTTAGCCTTCGGCTTGAAAGAAAATTAGTTAATCATGATCAAAGTCATACTTATCATAATTGAAAAGTATGCAAAAAATAAAGAAAAAACTAAAGAGAAAAAAAAGATTTTATTCTCAGATGAGATATATATGTTTTTAGGCTTACCATGAGAGAGTATTTATAGCATTTAAATTCCTAAAAACATCTTAAATACTAATTAAAACACTTAAAACTATTTAAACTAAAATACCTAAAAAATAATATTTAAAATAATATTCTAAATCCTAATTAAAATACTTAAACCTATTTAAACTAAAATACTTAAAACAAAAATAAAATATAAAAATAATATCTTAAAACTTAATTAAAACACTAAAACCTATTTAAATTAAAATACAAAGATAAAATATAATGTTTAAAATATTATCTTAAACTTGAGTTTAATTCAAATTCAAATTCGAATTCTAACCAACTTTGATTCCAAAAAAAACATCAAAATTCTGTCATTTTTATACCATTTCTAGAATTAATGATTAAAGAATAATTTAAAAACACAATATTAACTAAATTAATCACTTATCATTGACAACAACTTTGTGAACCAGATCTTAATGAATTCAAGAAGCACTGTTGTATCCACAGTTTCCTGCAAATCGGGAAACAAGAATGACTTTCCCTCTGGATTTTGGCTTGCTTGCTTCCTAGTTCCTGGGAACCCTTGTTGCATATGTTAACTTTCAGCCTTTTAAGGTTATATTACCTTGCCCTTCTTCATCTATTTGCATCTTGGGATCTTTACTACCATAGCCTCGAAGTCTTTCTAAAGTAATCTTGCATCTTTTCTTAAAAGCAGCATGGTTTCCTCTCGCTTATCTAGTTTAAATTGGTCCCTCATGCACAAAGGCTTCCAGAATCAGTTGCTTTTCCCCAAGGGACAATCTGATACCCCGACCTCTGATCATCTCGAGTTTGATTTCTCTGATGTGTTTGGACCTGCTCCGGTTCAAGCCTCAATGGAACTCGGCACAGAGAATCCTAAAAATCTGATTGTTACAACTGAAGTAAATGAACTGCTTTATGATGATCCAGCTGTCATCTGTAGTCGCTCCCACTCCTTGGTTGGCCCCTAGTCTTATGTTAGCCAGTCACTGAAACTTAGCAAGCTTACATTACGAGAAATTGGGGAATCCTTGGAACTCATTGAAGGAGATAGGGATGAGGCTCAAAATGAGCGTGATGATGTTATTCCGGAGAACTCTTATGTAGGCATGTAAACGAACCGAACGCACACAAATAAATGTATATTCATGTTCGACACGAATATAAACGAATAATTTTTTTTGTTTATGTTCGTTCATTAAGAAATATAGTTTGTTCATGTTCGTTCATTAAGGAATATAGCTTGTTCATATTCGTTCATTTAAATGATAAACGAATATAAACGAACGTAAACAAACACAAACGAACGAACATAAACGAACAACACAAACACAAAAAATAAACTTATTCGAACACAACAAATGAATGTAAAAAAAAGTAAACAACAAGAATAACAACTTAAAAATCTTTAATATAACCTGCAACTTTAGAGTTAATTTGTTCAAATGCGACAAAAACATACATAAATTATAAATAAACTATATGAGCATAATAAAGTCTTAAAGTTAATTTGTTCAACAAAACAATCTTCTTGAAATCCAAACAACTTCAATAATCTTCGTAACATATTCAACTTGCCCTCTGTTCGAACATAAATGAACGAACATATAATCGAAGGTTCATGAACGTAAATAAACGAACGAGCCATTTGTTCGTGTTTGTTCATTTAATTAAACGAACGTAAAATCTTGTTCATATTCGTTCATTTAATAAATAAACGAACATAAACGAACTTCCCACCGCACGGTTCATGAACAGTTCACTAAAACGTTCGGTTCATTTACAGGCCTACTCTCATGATCATGTAGTCATCCCTTGGAACATCAGCATGTAGGACTCAAAGATTTTGAAGTTTTGAAGGTTGTCGGCCAAGGTGCATTTGGAAGGGTTTATCAAGTAAGGAGTGGTACCTTAGACATATATGCAATGAAAGTCAAGCGCAAGGGTAAGATTATGGAGAAAAATCACGCTGAATACACATGAAATCTGAGAGTGATATATTAAGTTAAGTGGATCACCCCTTCATTGTGCAGCTCAGATACTCGTTCCAAGTAATGACGTTCTCGTAGAATAAAGTTGGATATTTTTGGTTGCTTTATTCTCTTATGGTATTCTCATGTTTAGATGGTCCATGCTAGTAGAATAAGGATGGCGTAATGTGCTGAATATTCTGTCTGTCCAATTTTTTTGACTCTCATATTTAGGATAAATACTAATTTATTCATTTATCATTGCCTGCAGACCAATATAGGCTGTACCTTGTGCTTGACTTCTTTAATGGAGGGCATCTTTTCTTCCAGCTTTATCGCCAGGGATTGTTCGGGTACTCCATATTTCTCTTTATGATGTAAATTTCTGGACTTCACCAACATTTTTGCATTTCCATCTCTAGGGAAGATTTGGCTCGCATATACACTGCTGAGATTGTATCAGCCGTTTCTCATCTCCATGCAAATGGTATAATGCACAGGGATCTCTTTCTTTTTTTTATATATAAGAATTTAAGATTTCATTAAAAAAACCCTTCATGATTTAATGCACAGGGATCTCTTTTTTTTTTTTATAAGAATTGAAGGTTTCATTAAAAACCCCTTCATGATTTAATGCACAGGGATCTCAAACCTTAAAATATTCTTCTAGATGCCGATGGACATGTAAGAGTGTGCAAAATACCATTTGTGCCTACAAATGGTTGGTTTTTGTGGTTGTCATGACCTACGTGATTGCATTGATTGATTTCTAAACTATTTTTATGGTGGCTGGTGCTACCTGTCTTTACCAGGTTATGCTGACTGATTTTGGCCTAGCGGAGGAATTTGACGAAAATACAGATCCAATTCCATGTGTGGAACTTTGGAATATATGTCACCTGAAATTGTTCTTGGCAAAGGCCACGACAAGGCTGCCGATTGGTGGAGTGTAGGAATTCTCCTGTACGAAATGCTTACTGGGAAGGTTGGTTTTTGTGATTGAAGATCTCGATCTGTTCTTACGTCATCTATAAGTTCAGGGTAGTGTCACATGTCATACTTAGCTTTTGTTTGTTGTTTACTATTCTGCAGTCACCTTTCTGTGGTGGAACAGACAGAAGATCCAGGAGAAAATAATAAAGGAAAAGATAGCGATCCTCAAGGGGGTAAACTCACTTTCTTACGGACTTGCGCCTATTGGTGAAAAATTTTCTACTTGTTATACAGAAAAGTGTATAAATTTGTACTGCTGTTATACTAATTGTGTTGCTCTAGGTTGATGCTGCAGATAGTTAAATTTAAAAGAATTTTGTTATTTCCTTTAGCTGCTGCAGAAAGAAGCAAGTAAGAGACTTGGCAGTGGACAAGGCGGTAGCCAGGAGATCAAACGGCATAAGTGGTTCAAGACCATTAACTAGAAGAAATTTAGAGAGATAAGGCCAAGTTTTCTCCCCGAAGTTGCAGGGAATTGCAAATTTCGACGAGTGCTGGACTAACATGACAGTTCATGATTCTCAGGTTGTTAGCCCAACTTTTGGGGAGAATCAGTTCAAGGGGTTCACATATGTGAGGCCTGCAGCTTCATTTCTAAACAGAAATGCTTAAAATCCGACTGTAGGGCCATCAGCAGGCTTCCTATTATGAACTTATATCTTTCTATCTGTTCTTTCATGTTTCTCTAATTAAAACATTATCTGCACTTAAACATGTTTGTTGAGATGACACCAAAGGAACTTAATATTATTTTTGTTGAAACTTTTTCATATCCGACATTTTTAATTATTCGAAACTCAACATGCATGGTCTATGTAAGCGTGTAAGATGATTACATTAGTATAAGTGAATCTGTCCGATGTGCGTGTCGATGTTTTTCTATGTTTTGAAGGGAGTTGTAAATCAATGATGCCACAGATAGAATAAGGATCAGAAACATTAACTACATAACATAAAAATTTCTCAAACAAACACAATAGTAGCATTAGGATGATCCAAAATTAGGGTTAAGAGACAGTTAAGACACAATTAGTCAAAAAAAAAACACACAAAACACCACGGTTGTGTAATGGAAGATTGATGCAGAGGGATCCGAGACAGATGATGATGAGCTGTCAGATTGCACCTTGATGGCGCTGAGATACCATGAGTTGGAAGATCAGCGCAATGGCGGGAATTGATTGTGATATATTCCTCGTTGGGGCCGTTTTGAGTGTGTTTCAATCTTTTGGCTATAACTTTGACTACGGGTGTCAGAATCGTGCATAAGACCCCAATCCGAAAAACTCTTTTCGACGCGCACGCTGTCCACATGAGCTATGCTCCATGTGACCTTTTTTCCAACCTCAAATTATGCCGTTTTTCTCTTCGAAACACTAGATTTAGATATTTTTTACTATTTATGGTAATATTTCAATTGTCAATTAAGAAGTCATTTTAAATCTGATTTCGGTCGGATTTTTTGCAGATTGCTTATTTTATTTTGAATTTCAATTTAGAGTGATTTTCGGGATTTTTTTATTTTTGGTAAAATTCCGATAAACAATATTTTTTGCTATAACAGTTCGGCTTGTGAACTGATTTTGGATAGTTTTGATTTGATAATATTTTATTAAACTCTAGAGACTTTTTTTCTCTAGTTTTTGGGCGAATTTTCTCTTATGAATCATATGTTGAAACTAACCTACAGGATAATCGTTATTCTGTCAGGCGTGAAAAATGTGGTTAAAACTTGCTAGCAGCGACTTCTGCTATCTTCCTTTTGAGTTCTGCCTGGTCAGCACCCACAAATTTGTCCACTTGCCTTCCATCTTTAATGAAAATGAATGTTGGAGTAGCACTTATCTCCCATGAATTACTAAATTCCTGTATATGGTAACTCACCACTGGTCATTTCATGCACAAAGTTGAAAATATTCAAGAAAAAAAGGTTTTTTTTCCACTTACTGCAAGTTCGCCAACATCGAAAGTTAGGAACACTAGAGAAGTATATTTATCCACGAGTTCTGGTGATATTGATCTACAAGGAGCCGACCAAGGTGCACTGAAATTCACAACGAGCTGTACAAGAAGCATGTATGAAAGCAATGATGAACACACAATGAAGGACACTTGATGCATATATATATATCGATCCGAAAAATGTATCTGTTTAGTAGTTATATGGTGAACGTTTTTGCTAGCGTGTTCCGGACACAATGCCTGTTGATCCTTTGTGTCACCTCCTTTATTACACTTGAAGAACTGCAAGAACTGTACAGGACGAGTGATTAAACACGGATTAGGTGATATATATACGTATATATGCACCATCTTTACCACCAACAATCATCTGAAGGACTCGGGATTCGTTTAACCTGCATGCCCTTTGGCAATCGTATCCGTCAATATACGATTGCAAGGTGCATTTGACAGGATCGGTGCTAGGCCTGTAAATGAACTGAACGTTCAGCGAACCGTTCGTGAACCGTGCGGCGGGAAGTTCGTTTACGTGCGTTTATTTATTAAATGAACGAACATGAACAATATTTTTTGTTCGTTTAATTAAATGAACGAACATGAACATAGGTCTCGTTCGTTCATTTACGTTCGTGAACGTTCGATTATGTTCGTTCGGTTATGTTTGTTTATGTTCGTTCGATTATGTTCGTTTATGTTCATTCATTTATGTTTAACTCAATCTTCTTAAATCAATTTTGGTGACCAATATGTAAGTATCTTAAAAATATTAATCAATCTGATATTCTGATGACCAACTCTATAATTAACCCAATTTAATTTGGAGATTAAATCCAATATGTTAACCTGTGAGGCACATCGCACCTATATTCATTTCCCCCTTTTTTTCCCAAACCCTAGTGTCCACTAGAGAGTGGAGACGATCGCTGAAAACTTCAAAACAAGTTATATTATAGTGCAATATGAAGTTTTACAGGTCTATTTTCATCTATTTCTCTGTTTTATTTGGCTTAATAGTTGATATGTAAAGTTATTGTAGGTATCTTCACATCTAAAACTCAAGAAAACATCATACTTCTTTCTAGAAATAGATGGGAAGATAAAGGTCACAATCGGAAGTATATGAGCATCAATAAAGAGAAAAATATATAGAATTTGCCAGAAAACAAAACAAAGGTTTCTATGCAATTTCTGAAAAGAGTGTAATAGCGAAAAATGATTGTTCATATGTAATCATGGACCACTAAGATAAATGTTATAGCGTTAAATTAAAGTTGTGTGAATCATTTAATATCTTTAAAAGATCGATCAAAATATTTGATATCTTCAAACATTTCATCACTGCTAATAAACTCTTACGCTATTTATCTCTGTAGATTTGGTTGATTTGCATTGTCGACTATTTTTCATGAAAGAACAATGGAAGGTAGGGTCTCCAACGTTTATGTTCGTTTATGTTCGTGTTCATTTATGTTCGTGTTCGTTTATGTTCGTGTTCGTTTATGTTCGTTATTTATTAAATGAACGAACATGAACATATTATATTTCTTAATAAACGAACATGAACAAAAAAAAATTTGTTCGTTTATGTTCGTGTTCGTTTATGTTTGTCTATTTATTAAATGAACGAACATGAACATACCTCCGTTCGTGTGCGTTCGGTTCGTTTACAGGCCTAATCGGTGCCATTTGAGAACTCGGGATTGACATACATACACAATGCATTTGTATATATGAATGGAATAATGTGAATGGGAAATGATTGGCTGTTGTAATTCCGTAACATGTCATGTTATCGATGAAAAGCGTTGTTTTCGGCACTTTATGTTGTTTGTTTTCGAAGAACTCACCTTGCTCCACCACTGTCCCATTTGCCCAGCTGACCCTTATCGATGAAGTTACAGCAGGCCTCTACAAATACGATGAAAATCAGTTCATATGACTCGAAAAGGAGGAAACGAATCCGGCATGCAAGAACATCATGCCTGATTTCAAAGCTCAAAGATCCTACAATCTCTGCATATTTCTGCATTAAATTCTCGAGTTTTCGGTTATTCGACCTATCTTTTTTCACCCAGATCCCATTTGATGCATGTCATAGGACACGGTCCAACAACAACAGGAGGAAAATAAGATATTTGTAAGCAATCTACATAAATACAACCCGAATCGATTAAATTTATCATTCTATGAAGAATCAATTGTAAAAGGAAGAAAAGCATATACCATGGGATCCTATTGGGATTTTGATGTTCTACGTAATCAAAGCATTTTGAATAAAACTATGTGATTACGGCTGTCAACGCCGATGGAAAAGAAAGAAGAAGAAGAACAACAAAGAATTTGTAGGAGGAAGACAAAACAATGGATGTGAACCGAGAATATAGGATTTTGAGATGGCCATATGAGTTTGTTAGTTATTATTGTTAGTTATTATTGTTAGTTAAAAGGAATTCCTTTAAGTCACAAGCTAAATTTGGCATGGTGTTACAATCATGTCCATTGGACATAAGTTTTCCATTGAAATCAAGCTTTTTGGACATGTTATTATGTTTGCGTGAGTTATAAAGTTCTGAGAACATTGATGAGTGCAAGTCAAGAAACATGGAGATTTCGGAAAAGTAATTTCCGAGCGAATCGAAGAAACAGAAGATTATTGTCCCAAAGGTTTTCTGGACAAGCAACCTTAGGAAGGACTAGAGAATTAAACATTTGAAATTCAAAGAGTAACAAGTTTTTGCTTTGCAGCAAATCACGGTGTTTGGATGTTCGATTCGGCCTCAGAGGATGTCCGGTTCTTGGATTCAGACTGTCGAATGTCTTCTATCATTCTAACGGTTTCATCCATTGTTGGACGCATATCGGGTGTTTTAGCCACGCATGCTAGTCCAATCTGAAGCATCTGCACCATCTCTTCTTGGAAAGTTTGGTATTTCAGCAGCTCTACATCAAAGACTTCTGCGGTCCATTCCTCCCGCACAACAGAACGGACCCATCTCGGAAGATCGACCACATCATCATGCCCTGATTGCTGGCGGGGAGCTTTTGCAGTCAACATTTCCAAGAGGAGCACACCGAAGCTGTAAACATCGGTCTTTTGAGTTAGCTTTCGTGTTTCGATCATCTCCGGAGCACGGTAACCAACGGTACGAGACATGGTTACAGGAGCATTCATTAGAGGAGCCAGGCCAACATCAGAAACACAAGCCTCCAGTTCATCGTGTTGGATCATAAACTTGATCCATTATGGGAGCCTAAACCCAAACCCAAACTAAATTGATGTCATTACTTACATCATTTAATTAAAGATGTCATTGCTTACATCATTTAATTAATGATGTCATTGCTTACATCAATTTAGTTAGGTGAGAGTTAGATTTGTTGAATTTGTAATGGTTTAAATTAGTTTATTTGTGTGGTGTAGGATTGTTCTTGAGTAGTATAAATACCCCTTCCCATTTTAGTTTTAAGCATCAAGAAAAATTAAGAGCTTCTAAGTGAGTGAAGAAGCAAAGTCTTATAAGAGTGAGTTGTAGTTCTTGTTTTGAGTGAGAGTACTCTGTAATATTTGTTTGAGTTTCAATAAAAGTTGTTTGTGTGAGTGTTTTATTTCCAACAAAGTGGCATCAGAGCGAGTTGGAAAGATCGAAGGTCTCGACGAGAGGAATACGACGCCGCCAGAATTTTCTAAATCTGAGTTCTGACGCACCGCCACGCACCGCCGGAAGACTGCTGCCAGAAAATCGAGTTGACTCACCGAGTTGAGCCGATTCAGCCGAGTTGGAGCCCTTGACCGAGTTGTCCAAGTCCCTCCAAAGTTTTTTTTTTCATCGTTTCGGATTCATCCGTGCAATCGGATTTTACAAAATCTCATTATATTGAGAGATATGGCAAATGGTATGGCACCATTCCAAGTTCCGACACTCAACAACAACAACTACGACAATTGGAGTATCAAAATGAAGGCACTTCTTGGATCACAAGATGTGGGATATCATAGAGAAAGGCTATAATGAGCCTGCGGATGATGATGTTTTTGCTACTCTTACACCAGATCAAAAGACAACTTTGAAGGATTCAAGAAAGAGAGACAAGAAGGCTCTCTACCTCATCTATCAAGCATTAGATGATGATGGTTTTGAAAAGATTTCAAGTGCAAGCTCTAGCAAGGAAGCGTGGGAGAAGCTGCAAACCTCTTACAAAGGATCCGAGCAAGTGAAGAAGGTTCGTCTCCAAACATTAAGAGGTGAATTCGAATCCTTAAACATGAAAGCATCTGAGTCTATTTCAGATTATTTCTCAAGAGTAGTAGCTGTTTCTAATCAATTAAAAAGAAATGGTGAAAAGTTAGACGATGTGAGGATAATAGAGAAGATACTCCGTTCGTTGGATCCCAAATTTGAGCACATCGTCGTGACGATTGAAGAAACTAAAGAATTGGAAGAAGAAATGAAGATCGAACAGCTCCAAGGATCATTGCAAGCATACGAAGAGAAGCATAAAAAGAAGCATGAGTTTACTGAGCAACTCCTCAAGCTGCAACTCAAGGATATGCATGAGAGCCAACGCAATGATAGAAACCAACGTGGCCAAGGCAGAGGTAGAGGCCATGGACGAGGTGGAAGTCGAGGTCGTGGACGAGGCTGGAATTACAACAATAACAATTCCAACAACAACTATGAGAAAGGAGAAAGCTCAACACGAGGCCGTGGAAGAATTAATCCAAACTCAAAGTATGACAAATCTCAAATTCGATGTTATAATTGTCAAAAATTTGGGCATTATGCTTCAGAATGTAGAGCTCCCAACAACAAAATTGAGGAGAAGGCCAATTACGTGGAGGAAAGACAGATGGCAAAGAAACTCTTCTTCTAGCACGAAAGGAAACTGATGGTGTCCAAGCAAATTCCTGGTATCTTGACAGTGGTGCAAGCAATCACATGTGTGGAAGGAAAGACATGTTTGTGGAGCTAGACGAGTCAGTAAGTGGAAATGTTTCGTTTGGAGATGATTCCACAATAGCAGTGAAAGGGAGAGGTACATTCTTATCCGTTTGAAAGATGGGAGACATCAATTTATTTCAAATGTCTACTATGTGCCCAATATGAAAAGTAACATTTTAAGTTTAGGGCAACTGGTAGAGAAAGGTTATGATATTCATATGAATAATTATAATCTTTCTATAAAAGATGATAAGAATAACTTCATTGCTAAAGTGCCGATGTCAAAGAATAGAATGTTCTTGATCAACATACAAAATGATGTTGCAAAGTGCCTGAAAGCTTGCTACAAAGATGCATCATGGCTTTGGCATCTTCGATTTGGGCATCTCAATTTTGGAGGTCTAGAGCTATTATCTAAGAAGGAGATGGTGAAAGGACTACCTCACATCAACCATCCTGACCAACTCTGTGAAGGGTGTCTAGTCGGGAAACAATTCAGGAAAAGCTTTCCAAAGGAGTCAGAGACAAGAGCTAAGAAGCCACTTGAGCTCATCCATACCGATGTGTGTGGACCGATCAAGCCAAGCTCTCTCGGTAACAATAACTATTTTCTTCTCTTCATTGATGATTTTTCAAGAAAAACCTGGGTATATTTCTTGAAACAGAAGTCAGAAGTTTTTGAAGTCTTCAAGAAGTTCAAAGCAGCAGTAGAGAGAGAAAGCGGTAGAAAGATCAAAGCCATGAGATCCGATCGAGGTGGAGAATTTACTTCCAGGGAGTTTCAAGAGTTCTGTGAAGCAAATGGAATTCGTCGACCAATGACAGTTCCTAGATCCCCCCAGCAAAATGGTGTGGCAGAAAGAAAGAATAGAACAATCCTCGACATGGCACGAAGCATGCTCAAAAGCAAGAAACTACCCAAAGAATTTTGGGCAGAAGCAGTATCGTGTGCAGTCTACTTGTCAAATCGATCTCCAACAAGAAGTGTATGGGGAAAGACACCGCAAGAGGCATGGAGTGGAAGAAAGCCTGGCATTTCCCACTTGAGAACCTTTGGAAGTATAGCCCATGTTCACGTACCAGACGAGAGAAGAACGAAGCTTGATGATAAAAGCGAGAGTTTTATCTTCATCGGCTATGATGCTAATTCGAAGGGCTACAAGTTGTACAATCCAGACAATAAGAAGTTTGTGATTAGTCGAGATGTGGTCTTCAACGAAGAAGGAGAATGGGATTTTAAACTCCCATACAGATGACTTCAATTTCTTTCCTCAGTTTGAAGAAGATGAGCAGACAATGAGGGAGCAACTAGATGAATCTCAACAAGAGCTTGCAACTCCACCCACTTCACCAACATCAACCACTCAAGGAGACTCATCACCTTCATCATCGTCAAGTGGGAGTCAAAGTGAAAGAGTTGTGCAACGCACAAGAAGCCTTAGAGATCTCTATGAGGTAACTGAACGACAAGATAATCTTACATTATTTGTCTGTTTGCCGATTGTGAACCAGTGAGCTTTCAAGAAGCGGTACAAGAAAAGAAATGGAGAGATGCGATGGACGAAGAAATCAAGGCCATCGAGAAGAATGACACATGGGAACTTACCTCACTTCCCAAGGGACATAAGGCGATAGGTGTCAAATGGGTGTACAAAACAAAGCAAAACGCCAAAGGAGAGATTGAAAGGCACAAGGCGAGGCTAGTTGCTAAAGGCTATAGTCAAAAGGCTGGAATTGACTATGATGAGGTATTTGCTCCTGTTGCTCGATTGGAGACTATCAGACTAATCATTTCTTTGGCAGCTCAAAACAAGTGGAAGATACAAAGATGGATGTAAAGTCCGCCTTCCTAAATGGAGTTCTTGAAGAGGAACTTTACATTCAGCAACCATCAGGCTATGAAGTCAAAGGGCATGAAGACAAGGTGT